AAGAGCCCATGAATAAAAATGCACCCTCTTTTTTAATTAATTAAAGGTTTTAAGATACTTGGGGTTAAATGTTCTTGGGTTTGAATAGTGCTAGATGACCTCTCGAGGAGTCCAAATTTAGAAGTTTACACCAATCCAGAATAAATCATAAAGAACATGTCATAATGCAGAAAGTAAAAAACCATCAAAATAATAACTAACCATTATGAAAGATCATTTAGGCATTCCATCAATAGAGAGATGCATAATCATTGTTGAAAACAAAATCCATCATTCTAAATCAATCAACAATAATTAAGTAAAACCTTTTATAAGGATCAACCAATTATCCTAGATGATAATCAATCATCACCAATGATTGCCAGATGCAAACACTAATTGCAACATCGAAGCAAATAAACCAAAATGCCCTCTCCAACAACTCATAATAAATAGAACAATAAGCATGAAACTCAAAGAACCAAGAGCTCAAAGAAGTTTATAGCTAAATCTTACTTAACAACACTTGACGAGAAGGCGCCATCCAACGAAGATTTGCAGGAAAGAGGAGCAATCTCCACCAATGGAAGCCTTCGTGAGAATGCTGGGAGGGGGAAGGCACATCCACAAGGAAAATTGTCTCTAGTGGCCTCGAGGTTCCTTCCGTCTAGCTTTCCAAATCTCCCCAAGAGATCCACCAAGCATCTTAAAATGCTGTTAGTCTTGGGCCATGGACGACAAGTAGCTCTTGGCTTTGCCTGTACTGCAGGCAGAAGAGGTGCCTGAACAAGTACAAAAAATTTTGATTGGGTCTCTGGCTGTGGACTTGAACCTGTGACCTTGCCAGTATGTTTCTTTATTCTAGCCAGATATCCGGCCATCAGGTTCCCGTCCAAATTGGATACTAATTGCTTCTTAATGTATATCTTATCTTCTGTCAGCGCAAATTCTTCAGAAAGGTTGTCATCCTTTCTGCAGTTGTCAAGCACAAGAAAGAAACTAGATTTCACCACCAAGTTTAGAAGAATCCCTGGGATGGACAAAGGCAAGTTACTTTTTCTTCTTTTGAAAAACAACGTTTATTGCAACAGAAATCAATATCCACATCCAATGATTGAATGTCCAAAAATAGCTTGTTTGAGCATTGAAGTTCAAATTGATCCAGGCACGCTCTTGATTAATAGCAAAGATAAGAGTCCAAGGCTGGAGGTACTTCTCTGTTCTTTCAAATCCTGGGGAGCTTGAGATTTCATCAAGGCACTTTCTTGTCGTGTTCTATCCAAGTTTGAAGCTTGTTCCTAGCAGCAACAAACAATGATGCCACTAGCACCACATATCCTTCGAGAATGTCTTTATAAGTCTCGGAAAACTTATGCTGCACTCATGTCTCTCTCACCCTTGAGTTGAAGGTGTTAGCCATAGAAAAATATCATAGAAATCTATGTAGATCGACATACTGCATCCACCTCTGCCCAAAGACTTGAAAAGCTCCATGAAATTTCAAGTCACACCCACAAGGTTCAGTGTGTGAAGAAGAGGGAAAATACTCGAGGCCGAAAGGTGGCTGTCCTTCACAAGAGTGTTTAGAGCGAAAGAAGAACCGTGGAAAAGCAATGCTTGTGAGTCTAGTTTGAAGATTGGGATCCCCGGACATGAAAACTGAAGAGAAGAGAGTCGATCAGCTCGACTCACAGAGCTACATTCTTTATTTCATGAGATTTGCACAAGCGCCCCCGCCGGGAGCAGCCAATCGTCATCGAGGCACCATGTAGTTAATGGCAATGACGGTGGTTTTCCATGTCTTTCTTGAGCACAGATTTCTGGGCGGGGCCAAGCGCATCCACCAGGAAAATCGTCTCCAGCGGCATTTAGGTTCCTTGTCATGGAAAAGTGTATGGAAAGCAGCGGACGTCTTGGGAGCCTTCCACAAGATGGAAGATTGAGATGTTTTCTCGTGGTGATCGCGGCATTTGCTCACAACGGGCAAATGCCGCGACGAATTCTCTTGGCAGCTATCAATGTCGACCCAGCGGAGATCCATGCACTCGTCTCGTCATTCTCAAAGAACTCTAGATACAAAAATTAGAATATTAGAATTGCACTCAATGTTCATCGGTTCGCAAATTCTTCCCACGATCACATCCGACTAAAGTCACCAGTAATCTCTGCAGGAACACGTCCCGTTGCTGAAGTGATGGAACCGGCAAGGCATCTCTCACAGTTATAGATTGTCCCACCATCTTCGACACAAAATTGATCCGTCAGCGGCAACCCTTGGTTGAATCGGAGAAATCAACGGGCATTTTCATAGTTTGTTTCTTCTCTCCTGTTTAATGCTGTGTTCATACTCTAGCAAAGGATCAAAGCAAGCTCTTTGCAACAACAGCTTGGGGCTCTTGAATGTTCCAATGTGTTACTGAGCCTACCTGCGCTTCACTCCCCTCAAGCCAGAAGTAGCACAATTTACAGTGACAACCCGGGAGAAACTTATTCCACCTATCTCAGCTGGGGCTGTAAAGGGAATTTTGCACGAGGGATCAAATGTAAAAGACTTCGCAAGTTTTTCTCCGCCACCTTTTCGCCTCGCTTTTGAAATAATTGGATTGCACTCCATACAAAAGGAGCACTAGAGAAGCATGATGATCTAGAGCGTCACATCAAGCATCAGCTAACCTTGCACGCTCGAAAGCCTCAACAAGAGTTTCCTATGGCTAAGTTCGGTGTCTACACCACAGTAAACCCCACGCTGGTGCCTCTGGAGATCCTTGCATGGCATTGGATCACATACCTGAGGAACGCCTACTCCTCGATTCCCCAACACAAACTAGCGGACGCCGCCCCAAGAAGCACAGGAAATGGCGGACGAGCGGTGGCAAAACCTCAAGGACTGGACGCACACACACGGCCACGACCTGGATACCCTCCGACCAGCTGGAATTCTGAACTTGGCAAGCCCTCCAACGAAGACAACAGACTCTTCGATATCTACGTGACGACTATCAACCCGACACTCCACTTCGGCCTTGATGTCTACGACACTCGGAATCACATAGTGTTAAGCCAGCTACCGGATGGGCCGCCGAGAGGGTCCATCTTGAGAAGAAACTGCTGGAACAAGGATGATCAGCGCCTACGCGGGGGCGATCGATCCAAGCGGCTATTTGATGCAATGCTGGAGCGCAGCAGCGTGTCCTGGAACGGAACTCAAGCTCGATCGAGGTGACGGCCAGATTCGAGAGTAACGCCGTATCTCCTGGACGGTGAATCACGTTCGCCACTCGCGCATCGGCGAGTTCTTGGATTGATTTTCATGGAATGAGTCGGGAAACCTTCATAGCTTTCATGCTATAGAAGTATATTTACACCGTCGTAGTTAAAACTTCTGTACAGGAAGAACACACACGTTGCTTAGAACTACACAAACTTTGCGTACTCTTGCTGGATCATCTCGCCGCCGTTGACGGGATCGAAAGAGCATCGATAGAAGCTGGCAGTGTCGCAAAAACAAACGATAAGAAGTAATGTAGGTGGTATAAGCAAAGAAAGAAACAAAAGCTTGCCTTCCTTCGGATGAAACGATGAGGACAGTGTTCTTTTGGGGACCGAAAGCAACAATGGAGCGCGATTCGACTGGCAGGCGAAACTGCGCGAAAGACCACTCGGAGCTGAAATACTTGGGAAGAACCCCTGTACGAAAGGCGAGTGTACAAAAACACAACTAACACTGCTGGAATGCAAGAAAAATACCTCTCATGAAAGAAAGAGTGGAGCCTGGATTACCCGACGCGAATTTGATTGGGCTCTCGGGGCTTCCAGCATCCTGGTTAGCAGTAGCAGCAGCCACAGCAGTGGTGCTCTCGGCGGCATCCGCCTCGGCCGGAACTTTCAAGCTAAAGACGTGAATCGTTCCTTTGTCGCTCGACACCACCAGCCACTGCGCAGTGGTCGAGAAGGCAATGCTGTAGATGTCGGCACGATCAGCTCCCCTGCGAACCTGCGAGAGCAGAAAACTCACATAAAACCAACAGCAAAAAAGGATTTTCTTCGGAGCACAAGCCACAACAAAACAAGGGAAAAACAAAACACGAAGAAAACAAGAAACCGAGAGAGTAGAACTTACTTCCTGGAGCTGTGTTCCATCCAAAGTGTTGTAAACGCGAATGAGCGTCCCCTTGATGCTCGCAGTGGCGAGCAGCCGACCATCGAAAGTGAGCGCCAGGCACGCGAGATGCGAGTCGTGGGCCGAGATAAACTTGGTCTTCCTCAGCCCATACTGCTCCACGCGAACCTGGCCTTTGTGGAGCCCCGGGCAGGCCAGCACCACCGAGTTGGAGGACGCCGGGGACAGCGCGCACAGCCCTCTTGGATTCCCAATCGTCTCCACCTGGTGGAGGAGCTTGAGGTCCGAGAAATTGTAGACGTAGATCTTGTGCTCGAGCACCACCACCACCCTGTCCCTCCTCAGCCGAATCGCGCGAACGTCCGACCGGAAGGAGAGCTCGCCGATGCAGCGGCTCTGGTGGTCGTCCCAGATCATCACCTTGTTGGGGAGGTACTTTGGATTGGCACCGCCGCCGACGAGCGCGAGGATGTTGCAGCGGAAGAGCATCTCCACGATGGCGATGCCGCCGTGGCTAAACTCTCGCCGGAACGTCTCCTTGAAGGGCTCGCAGTTGTAGATCCGGAAGCCCGTCTCGGTGCCACAAGCAAAGCAGCCATAATCCTGGTTGTATCCCACCGATAGGAGCCCGTGCTTGGATCTTTCCTGCGGCTGCTGCTGCAAGCTGGGAGAATCCGTGACCCTGATCGCGGATTTCGGCTGGTCTGTGAGTGGCGGCTCTGGCGGCGCGGAGACTAGGGCCATCCACTCCACAAATCGATCTACCTAGCACTAAAACCCCCAAGAAATCCGGCAAGAGAAATGCAGCGCCAGCGGCAGCCGATCGATCGACCACCCACCTCACAGCTCCATCAAAACCCTAACCGCCAAAGCCATAGCTCGATGGTAGCGCGAAGAGAGGGACATAGCTCCTGTGGAAGAACACAAGAGAAGAAAGGCTCTATACCCACGTTCTGCCGGATTGGACAGAGGGTTTCACGTCCGACAAAGCAAAAACATTTCACAAGTCACTCAAATTCCGTGTCTCAAGTCCGCATCAAAGAATAAAATGGAGCCTCGTTTTCTTCTCCTTATTTTTTTCTTCTCATGGCAATGGTTCTTGCTCGTTGCCAAGCCTGTTGAGATGGAGATAGGCATCGGTTCCTGCGAGAAAGAAGAAAAACTTTAGCACAGATGCTAGAAATCTCTGGAGAGCTCACGGATGATCCAAAAACTAGCTTTAAGAGCACCAAACTTAAGGGCTAACGGATGATCTAGAAACTAGCTTTGCAAATCTATCCAAAAACTAGCTTGCAAATCTCATCCCAAACTTAAGAGCTACCGGTTATTCCAGAAACCAACTTGCAAATCTCATCCCAAACTTGAGAGCTAACGGAGCTTGCAAAAACTTCCAAGCAATCAATCCAGCATTCTAAGACTTAGAGCACTCAAATCAAACCGGAGGAACACTTACCGTAGCCTTCCATCGATATGACTTGCAAATCTCCTCCAAAGTACCTCGCGTACAGCCGACTGATTGGGAGGCCATAGCCGTAGCCAGCCATCACATTCGGCGTCTCTTGCATATGCCTGCTCTCTTCCAGCGGAGACTTTGCGGTGGTGTAGAGGTACGTCCAGATCTTTGAGAGGCCGCTCCTGGGAATCCCACCTCCTTCATCAGATATCTAGAAAGAAAGAATTAGAACAATGCAGAAATGGTTTCCAGATGTTTAGATCACCTTCACGGTGACGTCTTCGACACCATCGGCGACGATGATCCTGATGGGAGGAGATTCTTGGTCCGAATCCATGAAACGCTCCTGCACTGCACGGAGGGAGTTTTTCAGCAGCTCGAACAACATCTGATGGAGATGAGTGGGAACGTAGCTGCAGGAGAGACAGAACGTTAGAACTTGAGAGCCACGCGATAGCTGCTTGCAAGAATGCAAACATACCCGAAGGAGCACTTACGCGAATGCAAAGTTTGGGTCGCCATAGACGTGCACTTCCGGAGCACTTCCATACGTACGCATGCAGGCCGATCGAGCGTCGTCAATGGCATTCTGCGCGATCAAAACTGGGGAAACCCGGGTGGAAATCAATCCAATGTAGCCGGGTGCTGGGTTTGGCTGATGCAACGCAACATGCTGGCCTGCAAAAAGAAGTTTTCCTTTCAAAGCTCAGCCAAAATCCTAGGTGCTAGCTAGAAGAGAGAACCACGTACCAATGAGCATACGAATTCCAATTCTCGACATATAAAAGCGGTCAAGAAACTGGTGAATTTCCGGCAGCTCAAGCAAGCCCCCTCTCCTTCCCAGCTCTTCCTTGAGCTCTTGAACTCCCATAGCAACAGTCGGGGTTACGTTGTTGTGGCGAATTTTTATCTGGTGTATCAAGTCTGTGAATTTCATCTCGTCAGCAGCGTCTTGGATCTCCGGAAACGTCCGCAAGTCTTTGAACGAGTCCACATACCAGTCACGCACCTGGAAAGCTTACGTTATAAGATCATTTTTTTATAGCAATCAACCAGGAAGAACAAAGAAAACTAGAGACCATACCTTTAGCACGGGAGCTTTCTCTGAGAGACCATAGGGAAGATTGTCCAGCTCCATGACGCGATGCGCAAGCCTCACGGGGAGCTCCTTGTGCAAGAACTGGGAGGAGAGGAGCAAGCTCTTCTCGGTGGGATTCGCTCCAAAATCCATCATATACTTGAGACTCACGCCCGTCTGCTTCATATTGCTACACTTGTAGATATCATCCACCAGGCTCCTCGACAGCGTCTCGGCGAGGCGGCGGACCGCCATATCCGACACGAGAATCCTAGACTGCCGCAAGAAACGAGCTGGAATCACCATCGCGCGAAGAAAATCCCGCCGATTTCCGCTCGCAGCGCCATCCTAGGAGGGCGATCGAAACTCAAAGGAGCGGGCATTTTCTTGCGCTGGAATTCCTGCTCCTGGTGTTGGCGATCGATGCTCCAGGGCGTGGCCGCCATGCATTCCCTATCATTGGCGGCAGCCAAGAACCCTATCCATACCGTCGACGCCCCTGCCAGCCGCTACCTAGAGGGGAGTCCTTGGCAAAAGCTTCTTCTCACAAACAAACACAGGCCCATCCGCCGGCTCGGCTTGTTCCACGTGTCGAACTGCCGTGCCCATGTACGGCCCACAATCACTGTGGCTGCGACTTATGATTGAACGGGTTTTTTATTTTACATTTCACTTTTCTTCTAGGACAAATTTAAATGGTGTGATATTCCTCTTCGGATCTTGAGATCTGGAGATAAATGGTGTGATCAACCAACCATTAACTTCAAACAAGTTCAAGCAAGTTCTTCAAAATCTCGGTCTTCCTCTTCGGATCTTGAGACTGCAGAAGGGCCTCAAGACTGGAACGTTTAGCTGGATTTTCAACAAATGGCTCATTTTCTCATTCTTCTTGTGTTCTTTCTAGAGATTTCTAGTAGCCAGGGGATTAAATTGCCTTTATGGAGTCTTAGGAAGTTCAATACAACAGGAATAAGTTCTATGCACTTTAATGAAGATGTGGGGGGCTACGTGACTGTGATCACATTCGGGAGTTTGACCAACATGCACAGCCAGCTCATGAACTTTGATTCAGGATCAGACATTTGCTGGGTGCCGATAAGAAGTTACAAACGTCGCCAGCAAGCACTCTCTTGCCAATCCCAAATCTGCAAGAATATATTTCGTGGTGATTGTGATTCGGCAAATAGGTGCAAGTTTGATGTAGCCTATGACAGAGGCAATGCCAGAGGAATCATCATCGAAGACTCTGTAATCCTCCCAGGAGCTCGTACCGGCCAGGATTTTGTCCCACAAAACCATTTCTATTTCGGTTTTGCTCAATCTCAGCAGGGTTTAACAGCAGGGGTGGGCGTTCTTGGCATGAATAGGGGTTCATCGTCATTCATTTCCCAATTCAGAGATGCTCTAGGGGGGAATGTCTTTTCATTTTGCATGCCGATCGAAACATCACTTTCAACCATAGCGAATGACGATGAGCAGGAATTTGGGACTTCAACTCTTGGTGATGATGCAAGGCGAGTGAATGGTTTAGCGACGGTTCCTCTTAGCGAGCAAGAGGAAGACAAAGACATGTTTTTTGTGACGATTGTCGGCTTGACTATCGATGGTGATTACATCGCAATCGCTCCACAGCTCCTCCTGATTGATACCGGTTCTACATTCACAAGCCTAACACCAACAATCTACACTCTCGTCATCCAGAAATTTCAAAACTTGCTACCAGGAAGGAAGAAAGTTATCAGCCAAGCGATGTGCTTTAGAGCTTGCGATTGTGGCCCGGTTGAAGACATTCCAAAACTAGCTTATCATTTCGATAACGGGGTTCATATGGAATTAGTACCCCACAACTTATTTGATCGACAGGGTGATTTCTGGTGTTCTACAATTAGGAAGGGAGAAACCAACATCCTTGGTCTTGCTCATATGATGAACATTTTGGTTCTTTTGGATTCTGATAATAGTCTGTTTGGCTTCAAGCCAAATTGTATGGGCTATGCTAAATGAAAGATATAAGATATTTCCTCTCTTTCGAGTTATACAATAGATTAGCTATATAGATCTCCCTCACCTGTACATTGAGATTACTATACACCAATCTTTCCCCAGCGTAAGCGATCATTGATCGGCTTCGTTTGTTCGCATGAATTTGGTGTACTCTTGTTGCATCATCTCTCCGCCATTTGCTGAATCGAAGGTACATTTGTAGAAGCTAGAGCACAAAGAAACAACACTCAGCAATCTAGAACAGCAAAACATAACAGTACCTGCCGTCTAGTCCCACAATGAGGACCGAGTTCTTCTGTGCTCCAAACGCGACAGTGGCATGAATCTCTTCTGGGAGCCTGTACTGCGCAAACGACCATTCCGAGCTGAAGTACTTTGGTAGAACACCTGCGACAAAGCAAAACCAGCTTTCCCAGTTAGAAAACTCTGAGAAACTCGATCAAAAAACTTGACACAAACCTTTCATAAACGAAAGAGTTGAGCCAGGATTTCCACCGGGAGAGAGCGTTGGCGAGCCGGCAAACGGGCTTGTACACCCCGATCCCTGACTCCCACTCCTCTCGATGCTTTGAGCTTCAGCCGGCCTCGACTCGTCAGAAGGCGACGGACCCTTAAGTCTGAAAACATGCACGGTACCCTTGTCACTGGAAACGGCAAGCCATTGAGCGTTGGGCGAGAAGGCAATGCTGAAAATCTGTGCTCTATCTGCTCCCCTCCGCAGCTGGGAAAGCAAAAGTGAAAAGCCGAAGTTAATAGCCATCCAAAGAACCAAAAGAAAACGTCTTACCTCTTGGAGACGAGTTCCATCCATAGTGTTAAAGATCCGGATGAGCGTCCCCTTGGTGCTGGCAGTAGCAAGGAGCTTCCCATCCTGCGAGAGACTGAAGCAAGCCAGATTGGAATCGTGCGCCGGGATGAACTTGGTTTTTCTTAGTCCGTAGTGTTCCACACGAACCTGCCCTTTGTGGAGTCCCGGACAAGCAAGAATCGGCGTCGTGGAGCTCGGGGACAATGCACACAGTCCCTTGCCGTTGGCGATCGTCTCAATCTGGTGAAGTAGCTTCAAGTCCACGAAATTGTAAACGTAGATCTTGTGCTCCAGGATCACGACTATCCTGTCCCTGCGGAGCTTCACCCCTCTAACCTCGGACCTGAATGCAAGCTCCCCAATGCAGCGGCCCTGGTGATCGTCCCAGATCATGACTTTGGTCGGAGGGTAGCGAGGGATCGGCCCACCGCCCACGATCGCGAGGATATTGCACCTAAAGAGCATCTCTACGAGCGCAATCCCTGCGTTTGGTACCTCTCGCCGGAACGTCTCCTTGAAGGGATCGCAATTGTAGATCCGGAAGCCTGTGTTTGTGCCGCACGCGAAACAACCATAGTCCTGGTTGAATGCGGCCGAGATGAGAAGCTTGGGGGCACTTGCCTGATCTTGAGCGGCAGTGCCGGCGCTAGGGTCGGAAGAATCCGTGTGCTCTACTGCTACTCCTGCTGCTGCTACCTGCGCCGGCGGCATCGGCGGCTCCTCATCACGAGATTGCTGCTGCTGTGGCGCCACCGGGTGATGATCGCCTGCCGGGAGCGCGACACCGAGGCCATTCGAGACGAGCGCCATGCCCGGGCCCCTGCGTTAACCCTAACCCTAATTCTCAGAACGCCCTCCCTGTACCTTTATCAAAGCAAAAATTTACATTTTCCCCTTTTTAAACATGAAAAAGATCGTAAATGCATTCGTTCTCTGAGAGTCAAAAACTAAAATTCGAATATATAATTGAAATAACAAAATCATAAAACAATTATGCGGCAGCCATGATGCCCCAAAAATACGTCTTTACATTTTCTGGAATCCGCTGCCTCTTCCATGTCACAGTTTTATGCTCCCAATCAATAGTACCTCTAAAGAGCCCGTGACAGTAACGCTTAGTAGCAAACACCATAGGAGCATAGCGCATCCCTTGCAACCTAAAAATCCACGATTTTTCTTGATCTAAAACTCCTGGAAGTTCCTCAAATTCTTCCCATTGTTTAGCTTCCTCATTGTAATAGCGAAGGTTTCCAAACTGTACAACAACCACCTTCCCTTGAACCATAGTCATCGTTGCACCATAGTGCTTAAACTCTTTAGGGAGGTCAGCATAAAGCTCTGCCCAGGAATTCTGACCTGCATTGTAATACCTCAATTCTCTGTTTTCATACAAGCCAATCACACGATCTGCGCCGTTTGAGATCACATTCGTAATTATCCCTAATGTATCTAAACCAGCCACACGTCCAATTTTTACCCACTTGTCTTCACTTGCTGAGTATACCTGAGTCTTGTTTACTCCAAAGGCATGAATTGTATCTTCATCAACTGTAGCATAATACTGCTGACCAGGCTTCATGAAAGCTGTTGAGATTGTTGTCCACTTGAGGCCATCATCTTTCAGGTTCATTTTGTAAAGGGCTGGCCGTCCTGGGTTTGGACGGCACTTTTGAGGATATTTCCGCATCCCCCGTACAGGAACCAACTTGACTACGAAGACATGGAGATTACCCCCTGCAGAAGCATGAATTGCAGCCACACGCTCATCTGCTTCTAGCTGCACTTGCTCCAATTCTGTCCATGCTTCTGTTTCAATATCAAGATGTAAGATGCGTACATCATCGTCATAAAACAGCAAAATCAAACCCATTCCTACGACTTACCCTAAGGATTGTTGCCCTTAAATATATGGAAGGTAAACATAAATCGAATATGCTAATATCCTTGTCCCCAAAACTTAAGTAAAACCGACATGGAAACACAGGGAGAATCCGTGACCAGGATTTCGGCTGGTGCGTGGAGCCTACCGATCAATTTAAAACCCCAAGAAATAATGTAGCAATCGATCGAGCGTCCACTCCAAGAAAGAAATCCTTCCCTCTATACCCACATTCTGCTGGATTGGAGTGACGAGCTGAGTACCGGAAAATATGCTCCCCGACGCTCCATCTGCTCGCAGCACGATGGCGATCCACATTGCATTTTCTTGCACTGGAATCTAGCGCATACTTGTTGTAGCTCCAGGCCGTGGCATTCCGGTGGCGGCAGCCAAGAGCCAAGAGCCACAGCCGATCCGCTGGCTCGGCTTGTTCCACGTGCCTTCATGTTCACAAAGCGAAGCGGCACCCTTCTTCAGATTCAGAAGACGCTTCCACTGGAAGAAGAAGTTCCTTAGGCTGCTCAGCTTGAGACATTCCAAGGAGCTCCTTGCCGTGCTTCTGTAGCATCACCTGGCCACTCTTGCTGGCCACTTGATGTCAACCTTGTTCATGAAATACGGGTATCACCCAACCCCCTCCACAGCAGCCCAGTCGAAGCCAATGAATTTGACCTATACTTGCCTGCTGGGATAACTGACCCTCACCATCACGTTCACATCTCTAACATCTCCATGCACCCCAATGTCACCTGTGACTGGGATTCCGTGTGCTTTGTCTTGTGCCTGTGGGTGCCCATGAAGTGGACACCAGTCCTCCCCTAGGTACTCCAAATTCACTTGCACCCATCCTCTAGGAA